TCCTTCTAATACTCACCTGCTGCTTTCATTCGCTCTCCTCTTTCTCACTGATGTGTATACTGGGCAATATTCATGTATCGGTCACTCTACTTGTTCTCATTTATGTAGAAACACACAGCCGAAAATTGCCTCACTACATCCAATTTGTGATGTAATGGTTGCCTTTTCAAAAAAATAATATATATATATAACTGATGAAGAGTGGAAGGAGGATGAAAGGAAGGAAGGAAATAACCAAAGGCTGGAGTGAGGGTTAGTAGATGATGAAATGTGAGAGAAGGGGCGGTGGGTGGATGAGGGCTGGGAGTTGTTAGACAGATGGAGTTGAGGTGTGGAAAGTGAGGAGAAGGACTGCGAGCAAGCTTAAGAGAGCAAGTGATGAAGGGGGAAGGAAGTGAAGGAAGGATGGGAAGAGGGTGGATGGATCGGCGACAGGGGGAGCAGGACTAGATGGACTAGAATGTCAGCATGAAATCAGAGAGAGGATTGGAGGACGGGCGAGAGGAAGCAACCACATGTTGGTGTCTCTCTTTGATCTTAGGTGAAATCCAGATAATTAGAGTGAGTCCCTCAGGGCTCACGTATTGAGGGAGATCACAGTACAAGGTTTAACAGTGTGTCATATGACATGTCTGTCTGTCCCTCACCAGTGGAAATTAACATGACTAACTGCACAGCTCAGCTCAGAAATAGGAAGTTTAGTGAAAACACTACATAGAATATATAGAAAAAATCCTGCAGTGAACTCTTATGCAACATAAGCAAATATCATTCATACCTGCAGTCCGGTGAAAAATGCCCCCCTGATTTAGTGGCGTGTAGAAGCATCCTTTAGCAGCAGTCATTATGAAGCAGTTGTTTTCTGTATGACTTTGGCAGTCTCTCATGTCGTCGTGGGGATTTTGGTCCGCTTTTCTGAAAACATTGCATCGTTGTGGTGCGCAAGCATTCATTTGTTCACAGCTCTCTTAAAGTCTAGACTTTGGACCTCTGCAACATCTTGATTCTTTTTTTCAGCCGTTCTGTTGTAGATTTAAGGCTTTAGCTGTTTGGCAGATGACCCTAAATTTGACTTTAGAATACTTCAGTGTACAGAGACAAAAGAAGCCCAAATCATCTACACTGATTTTGTCCGTCTAAATGAAATGATTCAATTAGTCTTGTCATTTGTTCAGAAGCAGCTTTGCAAACCTAAGCTGTGCTGTCATAAACTTTAACATTTAATATTCTGGAAAGACTTACATAAGATGTTGCCTACTTCATATAGTGAATCATATAAGGCTTATATGATTTACTCATGAAAGTGGCCACTTTCTCATTACTTTCATATATTGTTTTAGTAAGTATCCAAAACATACACGTTTCATTTATATCATTTTTCAAGGGATCTTATATCTGTTTTCACTCTTGTATGCGTCTCATACAAGTTTCACACAAGACAGATACAAACTTTATAAGATTTATA